AATTTTACGTAGGTTTACGATTTTCTTACGCACCGTAAAAACTTACGAAAGTTTACGCATATATATTTTTGCTGATGATATAAGATATCATCAAATATTCCCTGTGTTTCCAGATTAGGATTATTTTCTAAACCTCCTTTCAGTACAAACTTTTCTTCTTGGTTTGTTTTAGAATCATCATCATATATTTCAAATTCAATCTCGAACTCTTTCTCTGGAATAATTTCTTTATTTTTCATTTTTGATAAAATTTATAGATTGAATAAAATTTTCATTGATGAGTAACTTATTTATATAATTTGAAAATAAATATAAATAGACTCTGTATCATCAAACAATTTTAATAAAATATGGCAGAAAATAAAGAAATTATTCCAGAGAAAGAGTTCGAGATTGAATCTGAAATATACAATGATGATTCTAAAACAAACCAAGAAGAAAAGTTTGTACTGAAAGGAGGTTTAGAAAATAATCCTGATCTAGAAACACAGGAAATATTTGATGATATCTTATATCCTGACAATGAAAAGAGAGAAAGAAGAGCATGTGAATTACAAGACGATATTAAATTATATGTAAATAATCTTATCGAAAAAGGAGAAATGTTAAATTCTATTTTTGAAAATTTAAAACAAAAATTAGATTTAATTGAAGACGAATTAAACTTTTCTGAATTAAAAGAAGAAATTACAATACCGATTTATCAAGAATATAATTTTTCAATTTCTAAAATTATTAAATATGTGTTTGATATTGAAGTATTTTCAAAAGTAACTAATCATGCTTATAAATTTATATTAATGAAACGAAAGGATGTTAAAATTCCTTTTGATAATTTTGGGTTTAGTTGGACTTCTGAAGTTTTTGAAAGGATACAAACAATATCTCTTGGTCTTGATGGTGGTTTTGGTTTATTTGATCTAATGATAGGTGCTATTTCTGGTACTATGAAAAGAAATAAACTGCAAAAATTTATTTGGGAATGTTTACAACCACGCATCGAATTGAAACATGATGTGATGGTTTTAGATTTACTCATATTTGAATTTCAAGGATTTATAGGTGGATTGGATTATATTAGAACTAGAAAACTCACAAAAGAAGAATTGCGTGAAATCTTTAAATTATCAGAACAAAGATGTGTTGAGAAAGTTAAGGAAATTAATTATAGTAAAGCAAAAGAAATATTAAAACAAATAGATGAACAAAGAGGTTCCTGGGTAAACGAGGGTTGAATAACATATTTCTAAATAAATAATTATCATTTAAATAAATATAAATAGACTTAATATTAAATATTTTATTCTTAAACATGATGGAGAAAAATAAAGAAATTATTTACGAAAATGAATCTGAATATGTTGGTGATACTAAAATCAAAGAAAAGTTTGTACTGAAAGGAGGTTTAGAAGATGTGGAAACAATGATGGGGGTTTTCGAACCTATATTTTATCCTGACAATCAAAACAGATTGAAAAGAGTGAATAAATTAGCAAATGATATCAGGACTTTTTCAGTTGAACTTGTTGATAAAAAGGACAAATTGGATTTTGAGCTTGGAAGATTAAAAGAAATATTGGAAAAAATTGGAAATGATTTGAAATTTTTTAAACTTAAAGAAGAAATTACAGTACCGATTTATGAAGAATATAATTTCACGATTCCTATAGTTATAAAATATATTATCGAGAGTTTGATAGTTTTAAAGCAGGTAATCTGGCTTATAAATTCGCTTTAATGAGAAACTTTAAACATATTAGAATTCCATTTACTAGTTTCAAATTTAAATTTCGATGGGCTTCTCATATTTTTGGATTAGCAGTAGGTGGGGTTATTGGTGTTGCTTTAGATTTTGGAATTGATTTAATTTTAGATTCTATTTTTGGTGCTATGACAAGAGATAGATTGCGAAGTTATATTAAAGATTGTCAAGGACCATGCATTGAATTATATTATAATAAGATGTTTTTTGAGTTGGTTACAGATGAGATTAAAGCATTGGTAAATGGATTGAATTACGTTCGAACTAGAAATCCTACAAAGGAAGAAATAGAAAATATGTTTGAAGAGATAAAAGTAAGATGTGATGAGAAAATTAAGGAAATTGATGATGGGAATAAAGTGAATGAAGCACTGGAAAAATTAGATAAAGGAAGAGAATCTTGGGTAGTCGAGAATTGAAATTTTATTAATTTACTCAATTTATTTAATAATATTATATTTACATATTTAAATTATTCATCAATAAAATCAACTTTTTCTAAATCCCAAAAATAATTAACAAAATCCCACATATGTAAATCTTCACTAATACAATACATTCTTTAAGCCGGACCACTAACAAAAGATTTTAATCTATAATTGTTATCTCTAAAAAATTCAACTTTCCAAAGTTGTGAAATTTGTTTTTCTTTCTTAAAGTTTATATTTTTTAATTTGACTTCATAAGTTTTAGCAATATTAAATGTTAATGCTAAACCTGTTTTCAAATGTATTATTCTTCCGTTTACATCAAAGTAAAAAATTGAATGTAATTTATCTATTGTGTTTCTATTTTTTAATACTAATTTATATTTATTATTGATTTTTTCAACAGAGATATATTTATTACATCGAATGTTATTTGCTATATTTATTTGTAAATCTGATGTTGCGACGATGTTATTATATTTATCGGCAATGAATAAATTTAATTTTCCAAACTGAAGAATTATTTTATCTTCATTAACATTATTTTTAATACGTAATGGATTTGTGTAAAATTTGAACCAATAATATTCATTACCTTTTAAAAAATGATATTAACGTTTTGTTTCATCATATTTCAAGATTCCGTTGTTTGCCATAACAAATTTTTGACGTGTGTTTGCATAATTTTTATCCCAGTGTAAAAAAACATTTACGGGTGTGTTGAGATTTAATTTGTTAGGAAATGCAATAACAATCATGTTTTTATTCATATAAGAATCATATGTGACAACTCCTGAATATGATGATCCATGCACAATTGCTCGATGTCACATTTCTTCAAAACATGTTTCCATTATGCTTTTTTGTTTATTATTTTCATGAGATACAAACACACAATGCTCGTTGTCAAAATCGATCTTGTCTCTATCATCACTGGTAATTTCATCTATAAACTTATATTCTGGTAATTTAATTTTTTCTTCCAGTACTTGAAGTATGGTTCTGGGATCGATACCATCTTTATCAACTTTTTTATTATTTAACCAATCAAATACTTCTTCTACTACTATATCTGATGCATTTTGCACCATTGTGCATATAACTGAAATTTTGAACGGTTCTGCGATTCTTCTAAATAAAAGAATATCTCCTACTAATCCTTGAATAGCATTTACTGCAGAAATTGCAACTTCTTTCATATCACCTTGAAAACCATACCAGACTGCTCTTGAAACTGTATAAATAGTGCCAACATATGGTACAGTGTCGACAATTCGATAGATTTTATTGAAAATGATATCAGGTAAAGACATTAAAAAAGAAGTTTAAGAAATTTTATAAATTTTTAGAATATTCTATTAACTCGATTATTTATAGTTTTTTTTAAAATGAGTGGAACCGCTGTGCTGGATAGTATAGATAATATGACTGTTCAATTTTTTAAAAAATATTATCGTGTACTTTCAGTTATTCCTGGAATCAGAACATTCTGTGCTGTTTCAAAAATGATCTTGTATGGAATTTATGGAGATACTGATGGGAGTTCAGATGTTACGATTGGGGTACTTTTAGATGTGGTTTTTTCTGGAAAAACACTTATTAAAATGACAATTCTTGTTTCAATAGATACAATATATGATAATGGGGTTGAATATCTAAAAAGCAAAATGGTTGAAGATTCTAGAGAAACTCTTTATGATAGATTAGAACGAAAAATTACTAGTTTACAGCAATTACCAAGAAAAAATATTGTCGATGATGATAGAGACAAGATCGATTTTAACAACAAGCATTGTGTGTTTGTAGATAATGAAGTTGCGACGCAAAATGAGATTGCAAACCGTTTAAGATTTATATTTCATTCTCAAAATTTTAAAGGATCAAATTATTACGGTCATATTTTTTACTCGTCATATATTGAGAATCGAATGATAATCATGACATTTTTAGATGAAAGAATCTCTTTATTTTTAAATTTTGATAAGGATGGTTCGAATACAAAAAAAAATTATATTAAAACTGTCAACGGGGTATTAGGAATTGATAGAGAAACCGGTAGATATTCTTTTGGTAAAGATCAAGATTATTATTATTATGAATTCTTCTTTCAAAATTTACAAGATGTGATATCCAGAAAAACTATTCTTATTCATGGGGAAATATTTTTTTTAATAAAAAATCTTGAAGGTAAAACAGTAGCAGAATCTAGATTACGGATAAACACAGCAGATAATTTTTTTTATATCACGAATCTAAATAATCATTATTATTATTTCGTTCCAGAAAAAAATGAACCATCTTCACAATTAGTATTTAAAAGAGGAGATAAATTTAAAAAATTCGATGCACTTTTTTATTTTGCCAATGATCGAATCTATCACTGGAAAATATTTCTTGTAGTGACCTTAGATATGATAGATAAATCATGTAATTTTTATAAATTACGTTTAGAAAACATTGAATATAAAAAGAGATTGGAGAAAATGCAAAAATGGTTTTATAAATATACAAATGATTTATATACGATATATAATTTATCTAATCAAAAAATTATTATAAAAAATTAGAATGAAACTAAATTTAAATTTGAAAAACCTGATTTTGGTGGAATATAAATTTAACTTAATTAATAATTTCTTGATATTCATTAATAAATGTTTCTCAATTTTTTACTTTTTCTATAAGTAAATCTAATAATTTTAATTCACCATTAATTATTTGTTCTTTTAAATTTTTGTCCTTAATTTCTAGTAATTCCTGATGATATTTAATTAATAATTTTTTAATTTTGTTTTCGTCATCATTATTATTTTTATTATTTTCAATATTGGTTATTTTTCTTTTCTTATTATCCTTTTTAATTTCATTCCAATCATTAGGATGAATATCCATAAAATGTTTTTTTAAGGTAAATATTTGTAAATTTGGTGGATAAACATGATTACATTTGTTACAAATTAAATTTTTAGTAACTTTATCAATTGTGAATTTTTTTAAAATTTTATGAGTTTTATCATTTATAAATTGAGTTACAAAATCATAATGTAATGCTATTTCGTTATTAATTTCGCTATCATTTATTTCTTTAATTTCTTTTTGAAAACATTTAATAACATGTTCTGTCATCTCATTAGTTGATGAAATTTTAAGAAATTTTCCACATTTTTTACATGAATATTTATTTATCGAAGTATTAAAATAATAATATTCCTTTATATGATTATTCATTTTATATTTTGATGATATAGTTAAAATTACTATTTTATAATATTTATAATTATTAAATAATTATTAAAAAAATTAATAATTACATGAAGTATCAATAACAATACTGTATTGATAGTATCAATACTGTATTGAAAGTATCAATACTGTATCATAGTATCAATACTGTATTGAAAGTATCAATACTGTATTATAGTATTGATACTGTATCAATACTGTATCATAGTATCGATACTGTATCAATACTGTATCATAGTATCGAAATTGAAACTATAAATAATACATGATTTTGATAAAATTAAAGGAAATTAATTGAAATGGATGTGTCGGAACATATGACTGATCAATTTTTTAAAAAATATTATCATGTACTTTCAGTTATTCCTGGAATCGGAACATTCTGTGCTGTTTCAAAAATGGTTTGGTATAGATTTCATGAAGATGTACAAGAATCTGTTAATGGAGCTTTGGATATTGTAATTGGGGTACTTTTAGATGTGGTTTTTCCTGGAAAAACACTTATTAAAATGACAATTCTTGTTGCAACAGAAGTGGTATCAGATAGAATTGAATATCTGAAAAACAAAATGGTTGAAGATTCTAGAGAAACTCTTCATGATAGATTAGAACAAAAAATTACTAGTTTATAGCAATCACCAAGAAAAAATATTGTCGATGATGATAGAGACAAAATCGATTTTAACAACGAGCATTGTGTGTTTGTAGATAATGAAGTTGCAACGCAAGATGAGATTGCAAACCGTTTAAGATTTATATTTCAACTCAAAATTTTAAAAGGATCAAGTTATCACGGTCATATTTCTTATTCGCCGTATATTGAGAATCGAATGGTAATCATGACATTTCCAGACGGAATATATTACAAACAAAAAGTTTCTCTATTTTTAAATTTTGATAAGGATGGTTCGAATACAAAAAAAAATTATATTAAAACTATCAATGGGGTGTTAGGATTGGATAAAGAAACCGGTACATATTCTTTCGGTAAAGATCAAGATTATTATTATTATAAATTTCTCGTAATTCCCTTAGAGGATGTGACCGGACAAATTATTCTTCCTTATGGAAAAATAAATCTTTATATTAGAGATTTTGAAGGTAAAATACTAGCAGAATCTAAATTACAGATAAATATAGCGGATAATTTTTATTATATTAAGGATTCGAAAAATAATTATTTTGCTCCAGAAAAAATGAATTTTATTCAAAAATAATATTTAAAAGTATTAATGAATCAAAAAAATCTGATGCGCTTTTTTATTTTTTTCATAATCAGATCTGTCACTAGAAAACATTTTATATTATGAGTTCAGATATGATAATAGCTGGTGAATCACGTAAACTATATTCTAACTTACATTTAGAAAACATTGAATATGAAAAGAGATTAGCGATAATGCAAAAATGGTCTTATAAATATCTGATCGAACCTTGAATGGATTTTATTTTAAATCAAATACGTAATCAAACTTTGTATAAAATATATAATTTATACTGTCCTAAAATTACTTTAAAAAGCAATTATACAAATGAAAATAAATTTAAATTTGAAAAACCAGATTTTAAATTAGACTAATAAATTTAAAGAAAATAAAATATAACATTCTTTTTTTAACATTTTTATTTCATTAATCATCTTTCAACTTTTGAATCTGATCTTTTAAATCATCATGTTCTTTTTCTAATTGAGTTATGCGGTTTTTATATAATTCTATAGCTTTTCCTAATCCTATTTTTTTCTCAAACTTATCATAACAAAAAACATTCGGATAAATATCAGAATGTCCTCCTTGGTCGGCTGCTACACGAAGATAACGAAAAACATTTTGTTTATGTTTTTCATTTATTTCTTCGTCAACGTCTTTTTTAAAATTAGACATTAAATATGTCGCGTAACGAATTGCGGAATCAGGATGTGATCTATCAGCGGCATCTTTATACAATTTAATACTTTTTTTGATCTTTTTCTTTTTCATAATCATCGGTATATTCAATACCATAACTGTGTTCTAAATAACACGCTGTCTAATAATCAAAATTTTCTGATTTTTTATCGACACGTGAATCCAAACATTGAAATATGAAATCTCTCTGTTCCTTCTCGACCTTTTTTCTTTCGTTTTCTGGTAATTTATTCCTATCTTGATGATTTTTAATAAATGTTTTGTTAAATTCATCAAGGAGTTGTTCTGCTTTAGTTTCGATTCCTTTAATATTTCGATTCATCTTTATTAATCTTAATTCATTATTAAATTCATTAAGAAGTTGTTCTGTTTCAAAATTAATTTCATTTTTTTTAATATCTTGTTGCATCTTCTTTATTAAATTTATTTATTCGACTACTGTTCATATTTATATTTTTTTTAATTAGTAATTTTTCAATAAATAATTTATAATTACCAATTTTTATAGATTTTTGATTAGTTTGGCCTTAGGCTAAACTAATCTTGGTCCTTTGAGAAAAGCTATGCTTTTCTCATGCTCTCAAGTACTAATGTAATCACTTTCACGGAAATGGCGCCAGCCATTTCCTGGAAGTATAGTATTATTACGTTAGTACTTGAGAGCATATACTAATACTACTTAATAGATAAGACATACACAGATAATCATAACATCCAGGAAAAAAAAGAGAAAAAAGTGAATTCTATGTAAATATTTTAAATTTATATAAGCTTATTTTCCACTTTCGGGGTTACACAATACAATCAGAATTGCAGTTTCGCTGATATAAAAGAAAAAAACGTGATTTTTTTCTACAATTTTCCACTTTTCCGGTAACACTGCCACTTTTTGAATCACGTTTTTAAATTGATTGATCTAAACCATGTATAAAAAAAATCCAGAATTTAGAAAAAACTGCGGTTGGCTGCGGTTTTGAAATTTTGGGTGTGAAATTTATTATTTATTATCGATGTGATATATTATCTTCTTCTGCGTATAAAATCTCCTCTGTTAGCTTGTCTCCAAAGATTCATAAAACATATTCTATGTGGTCTTCTATCTCTTATTGGACAAATATTATTTAATGCATCATCATTGTTCAGATCTCTCAAGTAGTTATTTAAACATGCTGCGTGAAATATATGATTATATTGACATGCTGAGTATACACCATCTAAATTATCAAGATTAATATTACGGTTACATAAAGGATATGCATATTGAATATTTTGTTGTTGATTTTCTGGGTTTTCTTCTAGATTTTCTCTTATTCTTTCAGGCTGTCTTTGTATTTGTCGTCTCGGTATCTGTTGTGGTTCTTCTTGTTGTATGTTTTGTATAATAGAGTAAAAGAAAGGTTTTGATCCGAAATATCCGCTTTGATCCAAATTCATACGAAGGAATAATTCGTAGATTAATTCATTCTCAAAACTGTTTTGATTATCAATATAATTTGGTATTACATATTTTGTAAAAAATAAAAAAATAAAAATTAATAATGGTAATGATTTTGTTATTTTTTTCATTTTAAGATTATCTAGATTAATTTTATTATATATTTATATTTATTTTATAAATTAATTAATAATGTTAATTTATAAATGAATCAAATTATTAAATAAGTTAAATGATATAAAATGTTTTCAAAAAAACAATATAAGGTTAAACATGCTTTAGTTACTATTACTCTTTGTAAGAATTGTTCAGAAAGATTTAGATGTAAAGAATCTGTAGTTAAAGATAGATCACTATGTAAAAGGTGTGAAAAGAATCATGTTCATTGTAGAAATTCATGTCAAAAATGTTGTAAACGATATCAATGTAATGATTTGATATGTTCAAATTGTGTTGAGGAAGGAATTAAATGTAAAAGGACAATGATTACAACACGAGAACAATTTAAAAAAGTTAATGAACAGGGTGTTAAATATTTTTCTGGACAATACGAAAGAGATGAAACTGGACGATTTCATGAACAGTGTTATATTCAATTAAATTCATGGATGAATTTTAAACGGATTAAGGAGATTTTTGAAAATATGAGTATGAATATAATGAATAATTTTTATGGAGGTGATAAAAGTGCTGTTAATATATGAAATTACTCAATAAAGAAATATAAGAGATGTTCGGTTCATCGAGAATGTTGATGTGATTATATCGATTTAGATGATCATTGTGATAAATGTGATGATTCTTGTCAAGAACTTCGTGAATTGCTAATTGTTTGTGATAGTTTAGGAAATGAATTAACTTCAGAGCAAAAAGGTCCATTTATTTTTGGAGAAGAAAATTTCAAAGAAAGGATAGGCAATGAAAAAGTGAAAATTGATGAAAAAGAACAAGGGGGGTTTGAAAAGGCTGTAAATATTATACTTGATCCAACAACAAATTATGAATTTATTAATATTTTTAAACGAGATCCAAAAATGGTGAAAAATATTATGCAATTACATAAACTTCATCAAATAAGAAAAGAGGAGAAGAAGAAGAAAGAAATCGAAAAAGAATTGTATTATAAATCGTCTTATGAATTAGATGATTTTGGGTTCCTAAAATAATATTTGAATGGGTTAAAGAAAATTTGTTTACAAAAAAGAAATGATATAAGAGTATAATGATTGTAGGGAATACTCATTCAGGTAAAACTGCTTTGTTTAAATCTTTAAAATTACCACATATATACTATTGTAAGTTTAGAGAATCAAAACAATGGAATAATAATGCGAAATACGTGATTCTTGATGATATTGATTTTTTTAGAAATAACGGTGATCAAAAAAAATCAATAATGTATACGTATCGAGAAATGTTATTTTGTCAAGAAGAATTTAATTTACGAACGGCTTATTCGAAAACCATTAAAAATAAAGGCTCAAAACCTTGTGTAGTTTTGTTAAATGAATCAGGAAACCTATATCTAATTGAAGATAAAATTTTCAAAAAGAATTACGTCAAAATTGTTTGATAATTAATATTGGAGATTTCGATTTACGAAAAAAGGATGAGGATGAAAATTTAACAAATAAATCTTTGCGTTATAGTGGAAGTGTGATTATTAGTTATATAGATAAGGATGGAGATGAAAAAGAATTATTGTTAACTTTGGAGAATTTCGAATATGATAAAACATTAAATTATGAAAATGGTAATAGGAAACGTAGAATGAGTTATAAGAAAAATGAAGGAGAGAGTGAAAATATAAAACATGGCAGATTTGATGAATCGGGTGAATGTAGTAATACTACTACTAATAATAGTTATATAGAATTGTCTAATGAAGAATAATTTGAAATTTATTAATAAAAATAAAATGCCATTCTATATTTATTTTATTTCACGTCAAAATATTTAAAATACGAGATATTTAGGTATATTTGCTAATGAAAATGTTGTGAACGAATGGTACAATGCAGTAAAAGAATTACAAAGGTTAAATCCTGCTCAAGAAAAATTTGCAATTGAAAAAGTTGATTCAAATTGGTATACGTTACCACATTCGGATCATATTATTCAGCTTATTTATAATGTACATAAAAAGGAGTTGACTAGTTTTAAGGGTAAATGTTTTTTCTTATTATTGGGAGATGTGAATAGATTTGGAGGAAGAAATATGCCTTTGATTAATAATGGTGGTGGTTCTGGATCAGGAGGAGGTAATTCAACTGGTAATCCAAATAATCCAGGATCAAATTCAGGTTCTGGAAATACATCTGGTAATCCTGGTTCAAATACAGGTCAAGGAGGCAATCCGACTAGTGGAAACACAACTGGACCAAATACAGGTACTGGAAATACAGGAGGTTCAGGAAATAGTACAGGATCTAATCCAAATGAATCAGGTGCTAATAAACCTAATAATTCCGGATCTGGTTTAAATCAAAAACAAAAGTTGGCTCTTGATGAAATATTTAAAAATTTTTAAATACAACGAACCGATGATGATGATAATGATCTTGAAGAACTCAGAAAAGTTTCACAAAGACTTGCAGAATTATTTAATATGCAAAATGTCAATAAAAAAATAAATTTATAGTTTTATTATATATAATTTTATCAAACTTATATTATACAATATTTAGATTATTAAAAGATTTATCTAAAATATCATTTATATTATTTTCTTGATTTAAAAAAGGATATACTTCTCGAAAATAATTTAAAAAATTTTTTAAATTATCGTAAAAAATTTTATCAGAATTATCAATTTTGTTTAGATAACTTTCAAAATACCAATAAACTGAACTTATTTTTAATTCTTTGTAAAAATTTTTTTTGATTTTAATATTGTTAAATCTATGATCTTTTCTTAAAAAAGTATTTCCTAATTCGTTAATATCATCAATTAAAGCATCTGAATATTGTAGTATTTGTATTTGGTTTTTTAAATTTAGTTGTTTAATTATACTATAAGGAAGATCAACAAATTCATTAACGATAAACATTCCAAAAATAGGTATTTTATATTCTGATAGTTTCTTATCAAATTTTAAAATATCTTCTTTCATTCCATCATAATAGTAATTATGTGAACAAGATTTATTGCTTTTATTTTTACAATTTGTGCATAGATTTCGAAATTTTGCTTGAATGTAGAACAGGTAACCATTCCATTCACATGAGATATCTATACCATCATCGCCAATAATATTAAAATTTCCTAATCTATATTTTCAATGGTTCCATCTTTTGCGATTTTAAGATTATCATCATACATTATCTGTATTTTATCAAATCGAAGAGACAATTTTTCATTTTGTTCATATGTAGATTTATGTAATAATTTTCCACCGTTGAATTGGTAAAATGTGAATTTTTTTGGATGTAATTTATGTTTTTTCAGATAAAGAAATAATTTATTTTCAAAATTTTCTCCAGAAATTACACCAAAATGTTCAAAATTATATTCAAATGATAAAGTTTGTGATTTTTCTAATCGGTTCATTTTATTTTAATTGATAAATATGTTGTATTTTTATGATTGAATTAATAATATAAATATAAATAAATTAAATTTTTGTTTATTAATTTGATGATGGAAATAAAAATAAAAATTTACTTGATATTTTTATTGATTATTTTATATCTTGTGAGTGATGTTAAACAGAGATATATTTGTCAATGTTGTGGTGGTAATCATGAAGCATCAAGTTGTGCAAAACCTTGTGTTCATCTGATAATAATTCGAGAGTTAATTTTACATGTGAATATGAATCGAAGCAGATATTTCGGATCAAGACCAAAAACTTATACACCTATTCAAAGAAGACCAAAACAAATACAGGCACAGGTACCCAGGAAACCTAAAGGAGGACTTAAACAAAATCAACAAAATGTACCACGGATAAAACAAATACCAATAAAACAATTACCAATAAAACAAAGACCTGTAATAAGAGAAGATCAAATAAGAGATGATCGGATAATTGGTGATCAAGCTAAACAAATTATAAATCAACCAAAAATACCAATACCTCGTCAAATACCGATATCTGTATTAGAACCACAAGTAGATCGAGGTGTGGAAATAAATATACAAGAAGAAATATGTTCTATATGTTTAACAGCATTTGATATTGAAAATTTAGATGGTATAGTGATACTATGTCAAAATAATCATATATTTCATTTTCGTTGTATTAATCGATGGAGTCGACATGCAATTACTTGTCCTATATGTCGTGTACCATTACAGCCTGATGAATTATGAAAAAATGTACTACCAGAAAATATATTGAGACCGCCGGACGCAATAGCTTTACAAAGATATAGAGAAATTCAAGTAAATGATAATCAAATACCACAACAAAATAGTTATTGAAGAAGAAGAAGAATTCGATTGACAAGATGTTTTAGAATGTCTTATTTGTCATATATCATTATATGAAGGTGGAAATGTTATACAATTATGTAATAATCAACATATGCCTCATTATATACATAAAGATTGTGCAAATGGATAGTATAGAATGCCAAATGTTGCACAAACTTGTATAGTGTGTTTTGAACCTCTTTTACGTCGTCAAGTAGGAAGAAATCGTATATTATAAATAATGAGACAAAATCGAGATTAGAGATTGAATTTGGAACGAGCTAGGAGGCGAATGGAACGATGAGCTAGGAGGCGAATAGAAGAAAGACAAAGAGATATAGATCAACAAGTAAGGGAGGATGTAGATGTGATTGATAATGTACAACAAATAGTAGTTGTAGAAAAACAACCACCACCATTACAACAACAAAATGAAGATAGAAATATAGATCCACAAGATTTTACAAGATGTTCTATTTGTAATACACCTTTAAGGGAAGCTATGAATGGTAATCCAGAAGTAGTAAGGCTTT